TTTGTGTTCACTAGTAACTAAAATATTCAGGTCTTTAAATTAATTTTGTTTTGGTCAGTTAGTAGAAGAACACAGTGATATTTAATGTAAAAACTAGAAGACTGGTATGTGGTTATTGGTATATGGATATTTCATCATCACAAACTGATTTTGTTTTGTGCCAACCCTACACACCCTTCATCACTCCCCTACTCTGCCTTTTGTTTCACACCCTTTATCTCCAGCCTCCGACACCTCAGAACAATTCAACTCAACTTTTATTTCCCTCAAGTACAGTGCTTGGTTTCCAATTTTATCACCTCAGCTTTTAGCAGTGGACACGTTTTGTTTTTTTTAAAGAAATGATTCAAAAGTCTACTTGGCACTGCCAGCAGTGAGCTGCAATGGTTTTAAAAAGTACTTTTTTTAAAACACACACATTTTTAAAAAATGCAGTAAAATCAACTACATGTCATTCAGCAAAACAGTAACTTGCTAGTCACTGCTTTTAAAAAAAACAAGATGAAAACCTCATTAAATGAAATATTTTACTTTCCCTTCACACCAAGCAGCTTCAAAGGTTTGGGGTTGGTACAATACAAGGAACGGGATAAAGTACATAGTAACCGAGCCTGTGTTTTAATTGCAACCATATTTGTGAGTTTTCTGCACTTGTGGGTGGGATATGGTTTTCTTGGGTGCAGGGCGGGGGCTTCGCAATTTACTCATGGTCTCAGTCCAGAGACGGAAAGCAACTGTCTCTATTTTTGCTCCTTATGTGTCACTCACCACAAACCTGTTTAAAACAAGACCTGTCTGGTCTACAAGTTAAACTATTATACAGTCTAGAAGTAAACTGTTATATATATTATTATTAAATAAATTATATATATATAGCATTCAGCATGAAAAGACTTTGAATGCAATGTTGTGTGGTGTGAATTCAATTGTTTTGTTTTGTTTTTACAGCTAGCCTGCGATTAAACCTTCAATAAGCAAAATTTCTCTCTGGCTTTAACCTGCATTTACAAGCTGGGAGGACAATAAATAATATCAACATGGACTTGTGTTTGAAAACTGAATTTAGTTATATGAGCTGATTTATCACATGTCCTTCAGGTCAATGAGAAAAACGTCCTGATAAAACAGAATAAATGAGACAACACTCGAAATTAGCATCAAAGTACAGCCGGGTAATTTGATACCGGATCAGGAGGCAACAAATAAAACACCCTATGAGGTCGTGTTATACAATTTTCAAGATGCCGTTGGTATAAACAGCCTTTCAAAAGCCCTGTTTCCTTTTGATTTATGCCTGGACAGCTGCTATTTGACAAGAAAAGAAATGTGTAATGAAATTAGCTTTAGGTCAGGAGCGCTATGATTTTTAACAATTCTTTGACAAATGAGGTGTGAAGACTGGTCAGGGTCTGAGGCTCTAGGCTACACTACTTCAAATTAATTTTTCTAATTTTTTTGGAATAATGTGAATCACAGACCTGACTGTATTCTCTGAATAGAACAAATCAGCTGAGCTAAATCCTGACCAATAGCCAGCATTCTGCACATACCAGAGCAACTGGAGACATTGTTTGGAACAGGAAGTCAAGCTTGTGCTTCAGGGTTAAAGATATCCCCCGTAATGATGTTACAGCAATAACATTTTGTCTCTGAAATGGAAAAAAGGAAGATGTAAAGTACATAAAAAAGAAACTATAATTGGATAATGGTAGACACAGTAGACATAAAGGTTCTATGGTCTATGGCCACATCAGCAATTGATGTTCAATACAAAAACTTTACAAAAAGGAAAGTTTTGTTTAATATAAATACAGTCAGACCACAGTCGGAAGAACTTTTGCAAATCTTTTTTTAGTTTTTAACAACCAATTAAAGCATTCAATTAATTGAAAAAATATATAATTGAGTTAAACAATTCTAAGAATCTAGTCATACTTCAAATGTACGTGGTCCACACACATACCATATGTTTTAAATCAGTTCTAGTCCAGCTTCAGTAATCAAATTACCACTAATACTGGAACATAAAGAACATCCACCTGAGTTTAACTCATTCTAAAACAATTAGTTGAGTAATAATTGACTTTTTTACGCTCTCCTCATATTATAGAATTCTTTTGTTATGCTGCTTTAAAAGCCACAAATTCATTAAAATAAACTATTAAGATAAACTAAAAAAAAACATTTTAAACTTGCTACAAGCATAATTAAGTTCTGTTTCATCAGAAAGCTCAGCTGGACAAGTTCATGACTGCCACAGGGGAAGACATCACAAGAAGCACAGTGAGAAACAACAAAAGCTTACTCGCTGATTGCTTAACTTAGTGTGACAGCTAGAAGACAGTGGCATGTATTATTAATACTGTGGCTGAGAGACTAAATTAGGCGGTTTCCACATATTCACTAATAAAGCCAAGAGGCATTATGAAAGCAGTAAACGGTATGACAAAAGTTTTGCTGAAACAGAAATGGGTCCACAGTGAGAACGCTGCCAGAACAGGAGATCTCACAGAGTGCTCATTAGTGCTACTTGGTCAACACATGAAGTATTAAAAGTTCAATGGAAGTGCTCCCCAGCAATTCTCAGCAGCCGAGATGTGGCGCCTGTCTCTTCTTCAACTAATGACTCATCCGCTCAGTGATCCCTGGGAGAATTTTTTCCAAGATTTAAAGAATGTTAAACACAGCCGGCCAAACAGTTTGTCCACTCGGGGCAGAGGAGGACCACTGGCTCCCTAGTGCACGGCCAGAACTGGAAAAAACAAAAAACAAAGCCTCCAGCAGCCAGCAGCATTCATACAGCTGTAAACCCTCAGGGTCTCTAATGCACAAGGTAAATAAAAGTAAAATAAAATTTTAAAAAATGGCAGAGAAAAACAAAGCCTTCTAGATGTAATTGTAATACATTTTTAAAGGCTCTGCAAAGAAAAAAATATTAATTTCAGGAAGTCATTTGAAGAATTCGGGACAAGCTGGGTGACTGAGTATGAGTAACTGTTACTCTCACATTTCAGACAACTCATTATGACTCATGCAACTCTCCTCTGAAATAACACACTTCAGATGTTTCAGGATACCTTCCCCTTGCCAGGGGAGATTATGGATATTTTCCCATTTTTTCCTACAGTCACTCTGGCATTACATCAAAAGAGCAACAACTGTGTAAATAGTAAGAGGTGAAGGAGTTATCTCTAGACAAAAACAGAATGTTCTTCCACTTTTCCACGTTTATTTGTGTTAAACATGTAAAAATAATAGCAAGTCCATAACATGTTTCCTGTAGGTAAAGTGGGCATTAACTCTATTGTCATGCTGTGGATGCATGATGAATGTTACAGTGCATATATAGTTTATATGCATCCCTTTGTCAGATCAGTGGCTGTGTTGTCCTGTTCTTATATACGGTCTATGGTCCAAATATAGCTCTAAACTGCCAGTTAAACGTGAACTGTCCAGACACTTTGTGTTATCAGTAATAGGTTTACTTCCTTTAGTCCTTCACAGACTGGACCTTTGCACCTCCTGAAAAGTTCGTTCCCAGTCGAAAGAATTAAAGTGAAGAATTCCAGGCCTTCGGTTCAGTTGAACTGGTGAGAACACTGGTTGGTCCACTGACAGCAGCACAGCAAGTCCAAAATGCACCAAGGCAGTAACCAAATCGGTTCTGGTGACTGCCTGTGAGAAATGGTTGGAACACAAGTAAAAACAGTTGCGATGTACGGAAGCTGTTGGTTTAAACCGTTTAAATCCTGGTAAATTAACGTTTTTATTTCCAGCTGTTTGGGTCCCTGTTACCATTACCAAGAAACAAATCAGTGCTTGAATGCTTAAAAATGTGTTGCCTTTGCTTGCAAAATTTCTGTCTGCATCAATCTGGTATTTTAAATACACTGTTGATAAATACTGAAACACAAAATATATTGCGTAAACATATCAGGAATTCGTTTTACTCTTTGCAGTCTAAAATGCATATTGACAACAATAAATCACTCACTTAAATATTGAATTCTACTACTGCGAAAAAGTAATTAATTTACAAAACACAGGTGGATACAGACGTATCTTTGTGTCAAGTTGGAAATACCAGTTTGATCTTATTATAATTCCCCCTCTTCAAGCAGGTAAAACAAGTTACACATTTTTTAGTAACTGCTTATAAGCACTGAGAGTCCAACTGTTCATCTGACACAGTAAGACAGAAAGTAAAACAACAGAAAGATGAACAAATGTTTTGTAAATTTAAAATTTTTTTTCTTATTAATTTTTTTATATAGTGTCAAAAGGTATACAAATAAGAAACAAATTTGGATCTTTTTTGTTTGTTTTAAAATATATTTGATTTAATAATAGTAATTTTATTACGCACTGTTGAAATTACATTTATTTTGGGGTTGCATTTGGGTGAATTAAGGTGTTCTATACATGTGTATGTTTCTAAATGTCTGTTAAAAGAAAGTGAGATTTTTTGTATTCTTATTTTTATTATTTCTTATTTTATTTATATATGTTATTAAGGTAATACTTTACCTGTGTGGTATAGTCATAACTCATCCTCTGCAGGAGCCCGGATACTGGATGGCACAGTATGGTCTCAACAAAGTAAACAATCACGGGCCATGCTTTGCCTGTTTGTAGCTGAGGGCCCAACAACACAGGAAACTGTGATACAGCCACAGCGAGGCGCGCCTCTAACAATTCCCATTACACACGTGCGCGCGCAGGCATGCATGTACAAACACACGCACGCAGTTCTCTTCCTCACAAAGACAGACATTCCCTATTTTGCGTTCCTCTCAAACTGTCACACAAACCACCGTCCCATCTCATCTGCACGCACACTCTTTTGCACAGAAATCTCACACCGTGGCACATGAGCAAAAAAAATCGCCGGCTCTCCCAGTGGCTCTGACAACAATCCCTTCCCAAAAACTTGTTGAATCTGAGCGCACACTGAGCTAGGAAGAGCTAACGATGGAGCGTGTTAACTTTGGACTACGTACCAACACCGTACTTTTCCTTCTTGGTGGGCACCCAGCGAGACATCCTCGATGTCTGCGCTTCACCGCGTCGTCCCTCGGCCTGTTAGAAAAGCTCCAGACGTGGGCCGTGGTGGTGATCGCACTCTCCTTTTCTCACTTTTCTCCGAGCTGTGTGGGGCTGCTCCGAGCAGCCATTTTACTCCAGTGACAGGACGCTCCGACAGGGGGAGGAAGGGAACGCAACTTTTTCACTCAGTAGTAGGCGTTTAAACTACCAACACTACAGGAGTGAATAAATACGTCTCTGGATAAAACCACAGCCTTATACTGTTACACGTGTGAGGTGACACTGTAATCATCACGTGTTTAAACTGGTAATAAAAAAAAACAGCTTCAGGTTAATAAATATATATAACAATGAACAAAACAATAGACCGATTGATCAAATGTATGATGTGTCATTTTTTTTAAAAATCACCACATTTCATTTATGTGCTTTATTTGAATAAAAAGTATTTTAAAGTTCTTCTCCCTGCGCCTCATCACTTTAGAATGTTTTCAACAAAGGGTTAGCGATCCCTAGAGCGTACGTAAAGGTACTGCAAGGGTCGTGAAATTCATGTTCAACTAGGATTTCTTTTTTTCACATTAACAGAAAACCCGAATTCATGATCCTGTTTGTTATTTGAACAACTTGGTGTTGAGTGTCAAACAAAATTATATGCAAATATAATATAAACTAAGTAGAAAAAACAACCTTGTGTTTAATAAAGATCTGTCATGTTTAATTGAGTGGTAGGTCATTTTTCATAATGAGTGATGCAAGAAAAATAATATTCCAGTATACATTGAGATGTACATAAAGATACACAGGGAACTAAGGTAACTGTAATATATATATATATATATATATATATATACCACATACGTTATGAGTAAATTATTTTTGAAATACGTCTTAAATTTTATATATATATATATATAATTGTTATATCTTATCTAGGGATATCTGCTGGGGATGAGATATAATATTGGGTCGATTTTATCAATATTATATCTGTAAGAATAATTATCGGCTTGTTCTCCAATAACCTGATAACGCAATGCCTGAGTTAATGATGTGTGCCCTAAAAAAAGTTTTGGGGATAAACGGCTGTATATTAAAATTAAAGTCACTAGATGGCAGTGTTGCGGCTCATTTACTAAATCTCATACTCATACAGTGATTTGTACAAATAAATAAATAAATATTAGCATATATCAGTATTGGAAATTAAGTTTTTGGACAATAACGGCACATTGGATATATTAAAAAGTTAATATCGGACATCCCTAATCTTATCTTATAGTGTTTTTAGGAAACAACACTATACTTATTTTGTTTTGCTGCCTGTGGTTTTATCAAAAGCATAATTATAAATGAATTAAGAATTAAATCTATCTTCATCTTGTTGCCTCTCTGCCTCCATTCAACCACTTAATAAAAACCAGAAAGATTTGCCTCCAGCTTTAAGCGTATACTTCTTTCTTGTAAATAACCTTCGCTTGTGCATTGTGGGAAATCATGTGTGTCACAGTTACTTACTTATAACGACAGTGGGCCCTTTTTTTGAAGGCAGACTTGTTGAAGTCACATGGCCTGAATGGAAAACACTCAGCAGCAGCCACAAGATCACAAGGAGGTGCAGAAAGAACTGGTTCAACAAAGATGATTTTTGAAGTGAGTCAAGGATCAATGTGGATAATCTGCACATTAGTGATGCCCTTTTATTCTCAACCATGTCCCAATTGCACAAATAGTTCTTTTTGGCCTGACTTTATTGGATTTAGTCATTAAAATGTTTGAATTAAATAATGTTCCTTCCATATAAGGGGCGTGTTGTTACATCAAATCTTACATCAACAAGTGTTTATCATCCCATAACCCGCCCCAGTCCTCCGTGTCATCTTTCTCCCTCCCTGTGTTGGATGTTCATGCTTTTTGCTCAGTAACTCCCTTGTTCGCCAGAGCATCCTTGTCACTGCTTAATGCCTGACTGGAGACAGTACTCACCAGCACCTAGTTTGTATAGAGTAGAAGAAGAGTCTTTACTTTATTGGCATTAAGATGGAGGAGAGCTGCAGTGAGAGAAAAAGGTCGGCGTGTCTGTAACTGGTGAGTAATCATGTGAGTAGGATTTTTGGGGCAACATCATGAAAATAACAATTTATTTTGTGTCCAGTGACCTCTAGTCTGTGGCAATGTGACAGGTTTTGTTAAGTGTACATGAATGAAACAAAGTTGACCTCCAACATATTCCACCATTTCCTTGCAGGGCATTTCTGGCGTATTGTATCTGATTGTAGGAAGTCCTGTTGATCCGGGGATTCTCATTAATACCTCCACTGTGAAGGGCTGTTTTCCTGTATGCTGAAACTTGAGAGAGGCGAGTGGTTATCTGAGCTCTGCAGCGATGGCTGTCCGCAGGCCAGCTGCCCACCTACAAAGAGCTCCAGGCTGGAGGAGATCAGGGGATGAGTCCTGCTGGGAGAGCTTCACATCAGAGCGGGAGCTTTTGCCCCACTTCTCTGTCCCCTCACACTCGCGGCGACCACAGAGCGCCATTGAAGGAGCTCAGCTGGACAGCTGGATAGAACAGCTACAGGTGATGCAAGTTGACCCCCACAGAACTCATTATTATGGCTCTGGACTCTCTTCTCGCACGACATCCATGACAACGCTCAACAGTGAGCAGGCAATGGGACGAACCTGGGGGCATGAAGGAGTTCCTCCAAGGAGAAGAGGTTCATCTCCAGGTCAGACGTTTTGCGGGAGCTCTTTTGGCAGCCAGGAGTCCCTCCAAACCGGTGTTTATTCTCCTTGGAGACGCAGAGGAAGCTGTGAGACAGTGCATTTAACAGACACCCCAAGGAAGGAGCAGGCCCAACTCTGCCTCACACCTGTAACCATTGGATGGCTGCCAGTTCAAAGAAAAGTGACGATGGCACCTGATTCCTGCAAACTGAGGCAGTTTCCAGACCAATCTGTCAGCCAGGTAAAGAAAGAGAACGTTTGAAATGTATTAACACTATAGAAATTAAAATCATTAGATCAGACTCAAATGACCTAAGGAATGCTGAAAATTAGCTTTAATTTAATATAAATTCTATATAATACTACAATGCCAACAGCAGAAAAGTGTTTATTTTTCATTCTGAAATCACCAACTAAAGTATTTTATGAACCGAACAAATAGAAAAACTAAAAATATCTATTAAAACAGGCCGGATAAAGGGGGTTTGTCAGCTGCAAGTGGCCCCCAGCATGCAGTCTGAGACCCCTGCTTCAGCTGAATTCAGACAGAACTATGTAATAGATGTTGTTGATTAGGTCATTCTCCAGGTAAGTCATTTTTCTTTTGCCTATAAAGTTTGTGTCTTTTGAAAACCTCAATGCAAAGACTACAGACAGTTAGTAATGCTGGTTATGTGACTGTCGTTCATCACCTTAAGCACTGCAGGCCAACGACAAAAGTCCTCAGTAAAATACACGACAGCGTATATATTGCTAGGTAAAGTAAACTAAAACACATATAGTGCCAGGGAGTATCATTTAGTGTCAGGGCGCTGTTGCCGAGGGAGAGGACTGAGAGTCGGCATCCTGAAAAACAGTCGACTCTGCAGGAGCTGCACACATTCTCCCAAGCTTTACGACTCATTTGTGGCAATGGAGGCAGAGATTGAGCTTTATGCCCTGAGAGCATGCAAGTCCATTTACAGAAAAAAAAAAAGCTGGGTGGAAATGTTATCCATGGAACTGATAATATAACATCACGTTCAATAAGCCACTGTGCTGTGGTGGAGATTTAACTGTACTGGTGCTCACAGTCGGCTGGTTGAGTTTGGAATGGAATGGAAAAGAAAGTAAAGTCTGATTCATGTTGAGCCACTCAAACAAGGTTGTGTTTCTTCAAAATCCACTGCTTTTGGCAGGGCTTATGATAATTTTTTTTTCTTGACAGTTAAATTAGAAGATTAGCATTTTATCTGAAGAGCATCAACGCATTGACATTTGTCTCAGGTCAAAGTCCTTTTCATCACAAAGACAAAGTGTTTCTTCCTTCCCTTGCAATACTTCCTTTTGAAAGTCGACTAATGGCAGCACATTTAGCTTCATATTCAGCCCACTTACAGGGGAGTAATATCGATTCCTTTCTATTCTTGGCAGGAAGGTGAAGAACCTCTTTTCCACAAAATGTCAAACTGTTATTTTAAAAGTACCAGAGGTTTTATTCAGAGGAAGTGCAGCCTTTCTGACCAGGTGGAATCGACGTAAGAAAATTGTTTTGGTGAATTGCTGTTCTCTAACTGGCCATTTTCTTCCCTTTAGGTCAAACTGAAGCAACCCATCACTCCGACATTTCTGCAGAGTCTTAAAGCACACGGTACGTACAGTCATGCAGCACAGTCTTGTCCTCCAGCTGCCTGTTAAACACGTGGGGTTTATTGAAAACCCCCCTGCAGAGGCTTCTCACAAATACATCACCCAAGGGTGGCTGTTATGTAAGTTGTTACTGTAAGCAACTGAGAACCTAATCTAACCAGCGAATATGCCAAGAAAAACTAGCAGAGGTTCAATTTCAAGTCATGTTTAGTGTCTCATCAGCTGTGGAACAAACATGGCTACGGGCTAACTACAGGGACCGTGTTAGCCAGAGGGGAAACAAGGGTTTACTTCAGGGTTGAATTGCCCCACGTGGTTTACCTGCCTCTAATCAGCTCCTTGCTGCAGTGTTAGCCCCTCCTTCTCCACAAGACCAACAAAACAAAGTCAATATAAGGAACAAATTATTCTTAATGTTAAACCATCTAGTTTTGTGAAGGGGTTGCAGTTACAGAAACAGATAACATTAGAAGCAGAAAAAAGAAACCTTAAAGCTTCTCCAGAAAATGTAAAAGTCACTATGTCACACACTGTAATTGTAAAAAGATAATTGTTTAACTAAAGATTTTTTGTTGCAGTTTTTCTAATTCAAGTTTTTATATTTATTTATTTATTTGTAACAAAATCTGGATTGCAGGCAGGACATGATGTCTAGCTTGATTGACAATGGAAAAATTAAGAAAACAAAAGTATCATAAAATATATTTTTGAAATGTAAAATTATTTACATACAGCATATCTAATAATGCTTAAATTTAAGTAAATTAAAATATATATAATTCACACTAAAAACATAGTTGACATAATAACATAGATAGTAAAAACAGATAAATACTAATAAATATTAGTATATATTATAAATAAACAGAACTATAACTGAACCAATTGTTACTTGTATTACGACTCCCAGACTTCTAGATATGGAAAAGACTGAACGTCCAATCACAGCTGCCTGTTTCTCTTTCCAGTCCTCGTGTCTATTCCTTTCTTTACTGTGTGTTGTTGCTGACCCAGTTATAATCAGTCCTTGTTAAACTGACGGCATCATCACTAAAACATAGCGCCAACTCAATAAAAGTTGCAGCCACCAGTATAAAACGTCTTTGAATGTCTATGAGCGGATGATAATAATACTGCAAACTGTCCTTAAAGCATCCCTCTGTTTGGACATGTGGGTTCAAGTTTCTACTTCTTTGCAAATTGAATCAAAGTGTGAGGAATGATTTGGAAGGATTGGTGAATGAGTGTGTTTTTCCAGCTGTCTTTATTCTTCACGTGTGAAGTGGGGCCGCGGTGAACCCACAGCTCCTGGGAGATTTGTAAAATAGACTCTCCGAATGCCTTAGAAATCGACGACAGATCTATTTAAAGTAAATTGAATAAAACCAGTCTCTTGGTTAAAGGCCGTCTTACACCAGCACATATACAGTAAGTTCGTCTCTTCACTTTCAGAGGAAGCTGACCTTCTCCTTTAAGGTCAGCTATTGAGTTTATGGATTTATGGAGTTTTTTCAGTGAGCAAAAAAGATAAGGTTCATAATTCTGAAAGTAGAAGGAAGGTCAGAGCCCTCCAAGATTATTCCAGCAGTAATTATTTTTGCAGAGTGGTGCAATTTTCACTTCATCTCTCGTCTTTTCCCTCTCAATGTACGTTAAAAAAAATCCCACGAATTATCCTGCACAGTATTCAAGGCATATCCCATAGCAGTAGCCCATCGCCATGGTAACAACAGCAATGAGAATGCAGCCAGACGTGCAGCCGGGTGGCGATAGAGCATCAGTCAGGTCTGAGAGACAGGCCAGATGACCTGAAAGTGTCTCTCCCTGTGGTGGTCCGACATGGAGTTCTCCTCAGCCAGCGACCCTTATTGACACTGTCAACATTGTCATACAGTCAGAGGGAGGCCTGTTTTGTATGCATATGTTGGTGTGTGTGTGTGTGTGTGTGTGCAGACAGGAGAGTGGCAGAGGGACAGTGAAGCGTTTGTTTTGCTTTGAAACACAGGTGGTGAGACTGAGGGAAGTCACATCGGTTCCAGCGCTTCAGGTGCGAGGACGTTTCAGACAAATAGTCCAGGCACTGCCCAGGTAATTTAACACACTTCTAATCTAACTGTCTTCTTTCTCCTTTTTTTACAACATTCCCCAGGATCACCACCTGTGGATGATACAACTGAAAATCCTGCCGCTGTGACTTTTATTACAAAACAGGCTCTTTTTAACGTACTGTTTTAGCCAGTAGTTATTTGTCTACTAGACTTGATGAATCTGTTGGCCATAATTGTCTGTCAACACAGAAGTTAACAAAAAAAACCTTCAAAAACTTAAATTAAAAGCAAAATAATAATTATTTCCTAAGGCTGAAGGAGATGTAAATATTTTTCTATTGGTCCTGTAACGTGTTTATAACTCAATATAGTCTTATTAGGACCAAGCAGTTATTTCTAAAATGTTTTTGTTCTAATTCTAATTTAATATTAAATCGCTTGATCTTATATTTGAATGTTTTTAATTGAAAAAAACTAAACTAAAGGGAAAAAATAGAAATCATTAAATACAAATAAATAAATAACTCTTTGTTGAACTATAATAATATAATAAGAAAATAAATAACTCTTTGTTGAACTATAATGTAATTTTTAATTATAATAATTTCTTTAGACAAGCCTAAAGTTCTTTCTCAGAGGCACTTTTAGGAATCATTGGTCTGTAACTATAACACCAAGAGAAGGGAATTAAATTCTGGCTGGACTGGAAAAAAATGACTAAGAAAAGGACTAGTTTGAAGGAACATTGGTGTGAACCAGAACACTGTTCCTTACATTTATTTTTGTTTTTAAAATTATTATTATGTTGCCCTTCTTTTAAGAATATAATTATTTGAATTAGAAGATTAAAAAATGTTGCCTTGACTGCTCTCCCAGGTAGTGCAGCTTCGACTGAAGTGAGGAGTGTGATTAACCACAGAAAACAGAAACCTGCTTGTTGACCCAACTGGGGCAGTTTCTGAGTAAACAACACCACAATCTTTAGCCCTAGGACCAGAGTATTTGTTTTCCATTGAAAGCATAAAGAATCATTGTTATTCCGTGAGGGATAAGTCACGCTGTGTGTTAGCCTTTCCTGCTGCTTCTTCCATTGCTACTGGGGCATTGATTGTGTCAGGCATGGTGAGAGTCATCTGACTGGAGAAAAAAAAACAGTGAAGCCCTGCAGACAGACAGCTGACCTGCTGCTGAAAGGCAGCATCACAGCATGTCATGTTCTCGACATCACACTAAATTAGGCTTATATTCTGTTTTATTATTATTAATATTAGTATCATTATTTGCTGTCTTTGTAACGTGAAAGTTTTTGCTCAAAGTGACAACTTGATTGTACTCCCATGTCTGCCTTATTGTGTTGATTAATGACAAACCGCTGAATGTGAAGCATTAGCTACAAGTTAAAGGCGGGGAAAAGGTTTTTGTGCATAATTACGGATCTTTATCTCACGCATTCCTTTTATTCCACTCGCTGTAGGGGACAGAAAAACATCTCCGTTCCACTAACGGTGGGAGCAAATCTGTGAGCTGGCAAGCTCTGAGAAGAGGTTGGAATACTGTCAGGGAATCAGCTTTCCCTGGAAACAGTCACTCCTCCAAGCTTTCCACAGGAAACTCCGAACCTAACAGGAAGTCCCGCCTAGAGACCGTCAAGTACACTCCAATTCTTGGAACGGCACACACTGAGCCACACGCTCCGCTGCAAGGCCCCACCAGTCCAGAGGAATGCGCACCCTATAGTTTGCCAAGGAGAGGCAGCGTGCAGCCCGTGAGGGCGACAGCTTCAGTGCAAATACAGACGACCTCCGCTGCGACGACGCTCATCCCTCAGAACAAGGCCGGCTTTTCCTCCATCACCATATCCTCCAGGAAAGTGACCAGATCGGCCAGTCTGCCCAGTTCAGATACCCACAAACACATCCTCCAGTCCTTCAGGTCCTCTGCTTCTCCCCCACCCCCGGCCCCTCAGTCCATGGATTCAAACCCAAAGCCTGCTGGGGTGCAGAGGAAGGCCACCATAGTCAAAGTCACAGAGCAAAGGCTGACGTCCAGCCCTGCTCTGGACAGACAGAGCCAAGCCCCAACACCGCTGCACAAGAACGATGTGGACACGTCTGCACAAAAGAAGAAGGCCGCCATCATTAAAGTGACGGAGCAAAGGGAGAGCTACAGTCCGGCCAGGGGGGGCTATGGGACGAGAAGACGCAGCTTCACAGAAGGGCTGCACAAAGACTCACACCTGACTGCAGCATCTCCACTATTTCACTTCTCTGACTCCGAGTGGACACGACTGAGCTCTTCCACCACAGATCAGGAGTCAAACAGTGGCACTCTTCACAGATCCACACTCAACCTCTTTGTGTGCCAACCCTCGGCCGCAGCAGCACCTGCTCCCCCTGAGGTTCCCCGGAAAGCTGTTGGGCCTCGACCGGACAGGCCACGGAGCTGCCACGACCACGTGTTTGGACACAGTGAGCCGAGCAAGGAGAATGTGACACAAACAACTGCCAGAAAATGGAGCTTTGGGCTTCAACCAGAGGCGGCCACCAACCCTGTGAACTCCATCATCCAGGGAGCGACTGTGAGAAAAGCAGGGCAGCCAGCAGCACACACTCTGACGCCGGGCAGAGGCGCGGAAGAAAGACTGCCGACAGCAGAGGATGTGAAGAGGAGAGCGTCCCCGTCTCTGACTCTCCTCCCTGCTCCTGGTAGGTTCCTCTGTGTCACACTGACTGTCAGCCTGTCAGCTCAGAGACTCCCCCTGTCTCTGATCTGTGTTTTCAAAGCGCTGCCTCGTCTAAATATACACTTCCTCAGTGCCATAGGTGAGTGCTATCTTACCTGTCATTAAACTACACACTCCTGCATTCTGTTTTTTATATTGTTCACCACATTTGAAGCCTGTTTAACAGGTTTCTATCAGGTTTCTTTCTTCTTCTTCTTCTTCTCATTCTACCTGTGGCTGTGCAGCAGACACCCAACCAAAGACGTGTGCTGATGCTGAATAACATCCCCAGGACACAGAAGTCTCATCAGCACCAACACTCTCATTTTCACTTTCTTTCATTTTCCTACGTATCTCTTTGCATACACAGACTATTTCAGGCTCTTAGAGAAACACAGGGGAAACAGGAAAATCACAAACTGTCCGAGATGAGAATGAGAGTGAGAATGAAGTACCAGGATCTGTGTGATATGCATTTACAGGCTGCTAAATCTGGCCCTGCGTTGTTTACGGAGCTCTTCAGCAACACGCAGCTTTTTTTTTTTTCTGCTCATGTTCGATGTTTGTTAAAGGAACTAAATTTAGCCTCAAAAAAAGGATCCAGGATTTACACCCAAGACCAGGGCTGTACATTTTTTTAGGTTCCAAATATTTAGGAAGGAAAGGAAAGTGAACTCCTTGTCACTGTGACACAGAACACCACTGCACACAACCAAATGTGACCTCTGCTTTTAATCCATCACCAAAGTGAACAGTGGGCAGCTTTAAGGGCCCGGGGAGCAGTGAGTGGGGACGGAGCCATGATCAGAGCCCCTCAGTGGTAACTTGGCAGCTGGTGGACTTGAACTTGAAGCCAGTCCAGTTCCTTAACCACTAAGCCACCACTGCCCCATTTATTGTACAAGTATTAGTGTTCTAGTATAATTATCAACAATGTGTAAACATGACATGTAACCACATATGTTCTAGTTTTCTTCGTTTGTTTTTCATAAGTTTGAAAATTCAATTAGGAACAGCATTTAACTCTGTGACGTCTGTGACAAACACGCAGAGACAACGCCAAGAAAAGTTAACACACTTTCTGAAAATACAATAAAAACTCATCAAAGTCATCTGTAGTTCAGTATTCCAAACACTACTGTAGAACCTGATTCTCTCAAAAACATTCACTGATTGAATAAGGGCATAAAAACAGCCCAATAGTCTGAGACGTCAGAACTAAAGGCATAATTTGATATCAACTTGTTAAAATCTAAGCATGTTGGTGGGATGTGAACACCCCCCCCCCCCCCGTGTGAGCGCGTTTATTCATTTGTGATGCGTCTGATCCGTGTGAAATATTTAATTATGCCTTAATCATATTCATTAGGAATGTCGTCAATTAATTACCCAGACCTGAGGCACCATTATTTAAATCCACTGTTTGATACAGTCTGCCTACAAATGAGCCGGGGCGTACGAGATGGAGGTAGAAATCTGATGGCAGTTTAGCAGTTGACAAATGACCGGCCTTCGTCCTCACATCAAAGTGTCTGCTGTGTTCCAGATCCACACTCACACCAGTCTCCAGAGGAAGTGCTCGCACTCAACGCAGCTGCAGTCATCGCAAATATCAAGCTCCAAAGACAACTCAGTAGAAAGGAAACACCAAACCGCGACTCCGCAAAGGATTCCACGCCACCACTCCAGGGAAATACTGGTATTATTACTTCTCCCCTCCCATCATAAATAAATAAAACCTGAGCTCTTGGTGTTGGAAACCATTGATCTTAGTTACCAGAGACTGGGAATGCTGCTAGCTCAACACTTTGTTTCCAGTGCTATATTTCTGATTGGATCAATACTGATGCAGTGAAGTTTATTGGCTCTTTCATGCTGTGCCCATTTGATACATAACTAGAAGTAATATGTCAGTGCAGGCCCAGACTGCTGCTGCTGAGCAGCTATGTGATGCCGCTGGGCATGTGGGGTCAAGTCAAGTGTAAATGAAATACAGACAATGAGATTTTCTCTGGCTTGGCAGTGATGGATGCACGGTTGAAGCCACGACCTGATCACAACCCTGTCCAACACCAGAGCGTCCCCCACACTGCATTTGTCCAGCCAGGTCCTGACCCTGACAGGTCACATGATGCACTTTCTTTACAGGTGAGTGCAGAACAAGCACAAACTCAAAACAATTCTATCATACTGTGGCAATTTTATATTCTGTAAGTTTTTCCACAAATAGTATAATATAATGGTTTCTGGTTAGTTTTTGATATAGATATGAATTGCTTTTAGCATTTTTTAAATAGATGGATCTAAACTTTTTCATATTTTTGACAATTTTTATGTTGTTTCACAATGCAGATTGTTGTCTCCAGTGAACTCAACACATTAATGTACTTTACCTTTTTGACCCAGAGTGTGACAAAAACAGATATTTACCACTGTCTGTGACGTCACAATTTAATCTACGTAAAGAAGTGAATTTAGAAGTAACATTTAAAGATTGGTTTTAAATCTCTTGTATGTTTCCTGTTAGGAAGCGCTTGAAAAATCCAGACCAGATTTTATTCGTCGTTCACAAAATAGGGTGCAGGAGGTGGAGCAAAGAGCAAAGGACAGACGGGAGAGGGCCAGTTCATCAGCCCCACAGACGGGTGTTAATCACAGGCAGAGGAGACCCCACTGTGTCCCACCCACCTCTGTCACCGGTACAGTACCTGCTGCTACTGTTTAAGATACAAACAACACACAAAACAAACATAGTCTACCAGCATTGAAATACACAGTGTAATTGTAACTAACTCCTAGCACAGCTTAGCAAAGAGAGTCAAAGTAGTAAATCAGGTTCCGACCACAGGTTAGTTCACAAGTCACAGGAATAAACACTAATAAAATCTGCAATGATTTAGAGCATTTGCACGCATGCATTTGCAGCTATGTGTAACAATACCACCTTTGTTAAATTAGTCAAAGCTTCCAGACTTCTGGGAAATGCTAAGTCTCTGCTACAGGAAAATCACTGTATTTAAATGTCATACCTGAACATAGAGTACACAGTCTCTTATTTCAAGGAATATCTGAGAAGAGAGTACTATGTTATAATGACTAAGAGAAGAAACTGTTATCACCCAGAATACGTCTGTTCACTGAGAATACATTAGACACAAATGGCTGTATTTCCTACATTACAAAGTATTTTTAAATAGCCCTCTATACATTTACACTTTTTAAAGCTTTTTTTTCCCTTTTCTCCACCACGGTAAGTTCAGTGAAATATTGTTCCATGACCTTCAAATACCATTAACGGTCGACACAGTCTTTTGTCTGATAAGAATAAAGCTTCACAATTACAGAGAATATTCAGGGACGCTTCACACTACGTCACAAAGACGGTCCGCCTGCCCTCTAGTGGCTTTAATCAGAAACATTCATACGTCAGTCAACTGCAACTGGGACAGTAACACACCTAATTAATCACACAATGAAAAGTGACTACTTCTCTTTGGTTTTCGGTTTGTAGTTAGTCTTTTATAAGTAAGCAAGTTACTATTTAGGCAGAAAAATGATACAAGAAATGTTTGCATGTGCATGAGAATCGGTGAACTGGGATCCTTTTAAACCTTCATATCAATCAGCATAGTGTAAATCTGTGTGTGTGTCTGTGTGTTTATACTGTTATGTGTCTAGATAACCCTGTCAAAGTGAGAGAACGAATCATTAGTGGGAAAAAGCTGCATTCTGGTCCAAACCGGTGAGTTTCATCTCAATCTCAGGCGCTGTCAGATGTTTCCTTTTTGTGAGCTCATTCATCTTTATCTCCTGAATCAGTCTCAAACTTCAAGGCGTCTGCATCACTAACATCTTCATACAAAACGCACTGCACTTTTTCTCTCCTCTGCTTCCACTATGGCTGTGTAATTATACTTTTCCTCCTGGCTGCTGCACTTGTTTACTCTGCGTCTTCAGAGATCTAGGAAGACATTTTAGCCTCAACTCACTGACAGTACACTCAGTAAATGTAAAAGAAATGAATTCTCTGACTCTATACTACAGCGAGGAGAGTAGTTTTACTATTCAGATACTTTTTTTATTTGAGCAAAGTCTGCTGTTATTTTAGAAAACTGTCAGCATTAATCACAATCACTGTGTTACAGCAAACGTGCAGAGACCAAGAGGAAAAAGGACGAGGAGAGGAAGAGGGAAGTGTGTTTGACCAACAGACAGAGACTGGAACTTTTTAAAAAGGTAACACTTGTACTGTGATATTTAGACTAAACATTGAATTCTAATTTTATATTAAACTGTCCATCGAGCAATGCAGCTCTCACAGTACATATTATGCAGCACTTTTTTTTACTAATACTGTACTAGCAAAGGCTGCTATAGGCTCTGATAAATACATACAGTAATTATAAAATGAGGTCACATTAGAGTAAACTGCAGAGTAAACTAGTAGAAACTGCACCGCAGGGTGGATGGATGCAGGAGGTCCTTTTACAGTATGCTTAATTAGCTGTAATAAAAGGTAAAAAAAAAAAAAAAGTACTGTACTGTGCTGTGTTTTAAATATTACAGTTTTTTGGTTCAGTATTTGTTCACCCAGGGTTCTATTGGAATGTATATGCAGCAGATTACAATTACATTATTTTTTTTTTTAGAAATATCACTCATGTGCAATTTCATTTAGGGACATAGAATCACAGAGAAAGAACATTTAACTAAAAAAAATTCATTAAAGTTGGATTTTTCTCTGACTGCATTGAAGTATTTATACCACTGGAGGGCAGTGTTGACTAACTTTTGCCACTTTCATGCCCTAATCCTGTCATATTGATCAAGAAAAAGATCACTAATAATAAATAAAATACAATATACAGTTATATATGAATTAATAATCTCCATATAAGTGGTTATAAAGCAGAGCGACAAGTCATTTCCATTCACTGTCCGATCAACAGCCGTCCACTGTGAACTGTCTCATTGTGCTGCTGAGAGTGAAAGACGTGTGTCCCCTGGTGAACAAAAGGTGTCTCTGTGGCAGAGGGACCTACAGTGCAGTGCCACCATTCAGCCGAGCTGCAGCCAGAGCGGCTGTCCCCTCACAGCTGCTCCACCCACACTGCTGCTGGGGCCGATAACACTGTTCCCAGTGATGGCTCCACAACACAGCTGGACACCACAGCTCTGTGGCTGAGAGTTCTGCAGGCTCCAGGCTTTTATAACACTTCTGTACTGGTCTGACAACTGCCACGGCCATCATGTGCATGTGTGTGGGGGCTCCACATATGATTGTTCAGTCTACATGGACACCGATAGTGGACAGCTGTGAGTGGGACAAAAGCATATGAGTGACAGTTTGCAGCCCAGTGTCCTATCTCACTGGTCTCAGATCCAAACACTGGCTCGGGTTTGATCAACAGTAAAGGCTTGTGTTTGCAAAGTGCTCTGTACCAGAGTAGACAGACGGCACACAGAAAACTTAGACCTCTGCATTTTACTAATTCTATTTTATTTTTTGTGTATATTTTATTTACTTTGCAGAAACTGTTGGATCAGATTCTCCAAAGAAGCAAAACGTGAATGGTAGTGAACAGATGGTGGCAGTAAAGAGCTGTCATCTGAGTGAACTCCACCTTCCTACTATGCTGAATTTGAATTATTTATATGTAAGAGAGTTTATTGGTCATGGAGACACTTGAATTGATTCGTTTCTCAAAGCTCAACGTCGTTTCTCAAAGCTCAACGTTTGTTTTTGTTTTTGTTTTTGTTTTTGTTTTTGTTTTTGTTTTTGTTTTTGTTTTTGTTTTTGTTTTTGTTTTTGTTTTTGTTTTTGTTTTTTTTTTATTGTAAAGAAAAATGAGTTTGAAATGTTAGACTTTATAAAGACTTTATAAGGTTGGTATACATACAATAAAAATACATTTAAACTTGTGTCTATAGTTAATATCTACATCTTCATTGTCCAATCTTTTGTTAAATGTTTAAATAACCATTCTCTGCAGTGTAAAGTTTTTTAGAGGTGTTCTACTAATTTGAGTTTAAACAGTTTTTTTAAGCTGAGGAAGACTCATTTGTCATTTATCATACACCTATAAACCCAGAGGGAGTTCAAGGAGGGTCTGATGCTTGCTCAGCAGATTACAGCTTAAACAGTGCTGGGATTCAAACCAGCTACGATTATGAGCTCAATAACCGCAACCCCTGGGCCATGGGCTGCAAAAAAGAGTGTCCTTACATGTTTAACTATATGGTGAAATATGCAACCGTATTTAACAAGTAAAGACAGTGCCTTTACTAAAATCAAACTATTTAACAAGAAACACAACAAATACTGTTAGTGTAACTAAAGCCTGAGATTCTGATTTATTCTGGTCAAAGAATAAATTCTTCTTCCTTGTTATTAAATCTGAGGCGTCTGGAGAACATGGTGAGAAAATGGCTCCAGCTGTTCACACGCATGGTTGTTAAAATGCTTTTTGGGTTCCTTCAAACTTGGCCATCGTCTGTGAGTTAGGAAAAAAATAGACGTTTATGACTCAGCTGTTCCAGAACGAATGAAGAAGAAAATACGTATGACAACAGAGACAACAGAGACGAGTGAACACACTCACGTCTACATCCACGCTGCTCATCTGTCAGATTGCAGTCCTCTTCAGCACACCTAGTGTAATGTAAGGCAAACTACACCATATGACAACATTTCCCAAACATTTTTTTTTTACGCTGCTTCAAATATTTTACACTAGAAAAATGTCAAGGCACAGCACCAAAACATTTACAAAAAGTTTATGTTATTATATAAGTTATATAATTAAGTTATTATAAGTGAATCATATCATTTAGCTGAACACTATGCTGATATACTAGCAGGAATTGAAGAAAGAGACAGAGAACGATCTTCTTCAACAGCTCTGAGTCTACGTTTTTTTAGCCATCTGAACAATATAAAACTGAACAAAGACAAAATATTTGCAGTAATAAGTATTTGTAGTCAGACCAACATGGTGGAATTTGATAATCTGATGATCTGCCACAGCACAGTGGTTAGGAAACAGTGCCATAAAACACTGATGTCCTCACACAGTCACATCATATGATGTCATGTAACATGAAGCCCAGATACAGGACAACATAATCCATTATGCTCCCTAATCACACCCAGGACACTTTTTCAGATGTCCTCATTATGCAGGCAGTGAGAAGACGGGACCCTGAAGTGGGCTCTGCTGTGATTCAGTGCCAGCTATTAGCTGTGAGATAAAAGAATGTGACCCTCTCCACACTGGAAATGCCCCACTAATGGACAGTGCCGGTCTGAATAGAGCTTTTGTCTCCTCGCCTTGGAAACATGATGGATTGCAGCCTGCCAACGCAGATTTGGATTTCTGTGTTTTGATCCACGGTGAATGAGCTGCACAACAACAGGACAGAGCTGGCCATAAATCACAAGTCGGACACAAGTGTGAAAATGTATTTTTGGATGTGGTAGACAAAGGGACAGGTGCTGTGTCCACTGGCCTTTGTTCACCTTTCGTTCGTTAGACTCGGTTGAAGCTAGGTTTCATTTTATTCTTTACATGTTGTGATTGTATTTGTAATGTTTTTTAATTTTTAATTTTAAATAAGTAAAAATAAAAAGAAAGATCACTTTTTAGTTAAAAAAATTACTCATATAGACTATTTGTAAATGCAGAAAAAAGCTGATTGACAGATGTTGCAGGGTTTGGAGCAATCATCAAGTGTCAATTGACCTAAATTGTCAAAGCGGGGCCGGACATGAAAAGCTTTACTTTCAAAATAAAATTCCATAATTCACTTTACTCACTGGTGTCGTAACACTCAGGTCTGTATTTAGGTTTGTGTTAATGTTTTAAATTTAAAATAGAAAAGTAATTTAGATTGTGATCAGACCTGAAAACATTAATGAGACAAACTTAGCAGTGATTTCTGAACTTTTATACAGAAGGGTCTCCAACATTTCTAAAAGAAGAAAAGAATTTGATGTTGATAAGTTGCTTAAATTATTTGAATTACTTTTGTCCTTTTATTTATCTCTCACGGGAGTATTTTCAGGATTTCAACTATTACTACAAATAATAATAATAATCCATCCATCCATTTCCATCCGCTTATCCGTTACCGGGTCGCGGGGGCAGCAGTCTCCACCCAAATCACACTGCACCGTACCAACCCCCCAAACCTTCCTGCAGGTGGTGAGTCCACTGGAAGGTAGGAACCG